TTTTTTGAGACAGGGTTTCTCTGTGGTTTTGGAGCCTGTCCTGGAACTAGCTCTGTAGACCAGGCTGGTCTCAAACTCACAGAGATCTGCCTGCCTCTGCCTCCCGAGTGCTGGGATTAAAGGCGTGCGCCACCACCGCCCAGCACTGCAACCCTTTAATACAGTTCCTTATGTATGATGACCCAAGCATGAAATTATTTTCATTGCTATTTCATAACTGCCATTTTGCTAGTGTTATATGTCATAATATTTTTGGAGATAGATATTTGCCAAAGGGGTTGCAACCCAGATGTAGAGAACCACTGGTCTAGATATTCAAGTCCATTACATAAAACAAATTGGTGTTTTCATAGAAGCTACATACATTTATTTATGCTGTGTTGACTCTGGGTTACTGTAATACCTAATACAAGTAAATTGTTGCCATGCTAATTTTTTATAGGATAATAACAAGAATGCATCTATACTTTTTTAGTGCAGATACAATGTTTTCTAAGCATTTTGAACTTGAGGTTGGTGGCATAGTTGAATGGATAACCTTCAAGTATAGAGGGACAACTATATTCTTTATATAAATCCTTTAGCTATTATTTTTTCTGGCTGCAGTGGTTTGAATGAGATATCCCTTACAAGGCTCAGGTGTTCCCAGTTGGTGGAACTAACTGGGAAGGACGAGGAATAACAGCCCTAATGGAGAAAGAATATCACTGGGGTCAGCTTTGAGGTTTCAAAAGACTTATGCCACTGTGGCCTCTCTTTGCCTCCTGCTTTTTAATCAGAATGTGAGCTCTCAGCTGTTCCTGCCACCAGGCCTCTGATTGACCATCAGGGACTCTAACCCTCCAAAACCATAAGTCCAGTGAATACTTTCTTTAATAGGTTGCCTTGGCTATGGCATTTTTGTCAGAGCAATAAAAAGTTACTAAGACAGAAGCTAGAACCAGGAAGTGGGCTATTACTATAAAACTTGACCATGTTGTTTTGGAGGAATGTAGGAGACTTTGCGACATCAGATTAGCAAACCAGTTGAAGGTTGTAAGGGGAGTTTATGGGCCATCCCAGGAGGTCTTGGAAGACCACAATACTAAGAGCTATGAGGACTGTGGAGGATCAGATCAAGAGGGGTCAGAGCAGAAACAATATCAGCAACTGTGATACGGTGAGAACTCTTGTGATATTTTGGCAAAGACTGTATTTGCTTTCTGTTCTTGTTCTAAGAGGTTAAATTTAAAAGTAATGGACTAATTTCTTTCATGGAGGAGATTTCAAGACAGCCTACTTGACTCTGTTGTGTGGTCATTAATAATTATTCTCATGCAGGTCTATGATGAAAAAGATCAAGTGCGGCAGAGAGAGATGCAGAATGCACAGTTTGAAGAGAAGAGAGCCAGGAAATGTAACACTATGGCCAGGGGATGATGAAAAGGATAGGAAGATTAAGAAGTGGCCTGACCCACACTGGAAGAACATGAGGGATGCCCTTAGCACTGGGGAGGCAGAACTGGAGACTAGCCTGATTTACATAGCCAGGGCTACATAGAGGGACCCTATCTCAAAAGAAAAGAACGTGGAGGAGGAGAAAGAGAAGCAAGAAGGAAGGAGGAGCAGAATGGGAGGAAGAGGGACTGAGGAAAACAGGAGGGGGGAAGTGAAGGAGAATAGGAGGAGGGGGAGGAGGGGGAGGAGGGGAGCAGCTCATCCATCATCTACAACTCTAGGTGTGAACTTTCCAGCGGAGAAACTACTTTTCCCTGATTTTGTACTTCTCTTTACGCATTAGAACATTAGCTGTGGCTTGGGAAATGGCCTAGAATGTCTTTGCTCTTTTCCCAGTAGATGCAGTTTTACAGAAATAACAGGGTGTACTGGGGTGCCGATGGAGCCCCGAAGGCTGTTGTTATACCTGAGGCTGCTTTAGAGAAGAAATGAACAAGCGGAGAGAGGAAATCCTCCCTCCAGTACTCACACTGTGAGGCACCATGGCACTGTCCTGTGGCTGCAGTGACCTGTTTAAATTTGGGGGACAAAGTTTCTTCTCCTTGGCCTCGCCTTTTACATATTTAACATCATACAGAAAAGAAATATCCCTTGAAAGTAAGAAAATACATTTTAGAATTAGCTTTTTCTAAGGGTGTATACAGCCACACACTTTCTACTAGTGGGTAAAATAGAACTTTGGTCAGCAAAACTGCTCTCACTACCTCTTTCTTCCCCTGCTTATCTGAATTTTATTATTTAGAATTAATTAAAAACATGGGGAAAGGAAGTGTGATTTCCATTGAAGGCATCCCTGTGATCCCCACGCAGCTCTGTTTCAGAAGACAAGTCCATCCATTACTTTGGGATGATGAGAGCAGTTTACCAAGCAAACAGTTCTCCCGATTCCAGTGATGGCAGCCACGCCCTGCACTACTGGAGAAACTGAAACTGCAGCCCCGTCTCTCCACAGGACCCGCTCCTAGCCTTTCCCAGCAGCCATTTTCAGCGTCACTGTCATGGACACTTCAGAGATCACAGACATCAGAACCCACAGCCAGGCCCAGATTCCTCTGGAAACCTGTAAGCTTCCATAGAGGTTGTCTAATTAACATAGAGCAGTCCTTGGCTGGGACTCTCTGGGCAGAACAGCTTAAATCACAATGGCAGCAGCCATGGCCTCAGGAGCAGAGGGGAGGAAGCAACCAAGGCAGGCAGAAAGGCCCTGGCTTGGGTAGGACACTCCCACAGTGTCCACAGCTTCTAGAGGTGGGGTTCGCTCACCTGGATGGTGACCTTAGGTTTAGCATCCAGCACCAGCTTATTGGATGGAGGCCCCTCCATGGCCAGCGTCCAAGGTTGAAGGAGGAACCTGCTGACACCTGGACCAGCACGTCCCACCCCAGGTGTAAGAAGAGTCTGCCCACATTCTTCCTCTTCACCAAACTTCTCATTCCCATCATCAACTCTTTCCTCCCCTCCAACCTCGGATGAATCCGTTTTTTCCCACACTTATTCCTGCCATGTGTGCACAGGACTCCATCTTGGTCCACAGCCCCCAGTCTCATCCCACCAGCAATAACTTCCACTGCCCCACTAAGACACTCCCTGGCCTGGTTTGCTTTGTGCCGCTGTGATAAATACTGACCCAAACCAACCTGGGGTAGGAAAAGGCTTGTCTGGCTTACAGGTTCTGGACCACAGGAAAGGGAGAGCTGTGCTGACAGGCTCTGTGTGCATGGCTCTCTAGGCCTGCCTTCTTATACAACCCAGCAGCACCTGCCCAGGGATGGCAAGGCGTCTAGCGCGAGGATCCCTCACCAAGAAAAACGCCCACAGACAAGCCCACAGGCCAATTGACAGAGGCAGTTCCTCAACTGACAGTCCATTTTCCCAGGTGCCTCTAGTTTGTGCAAGCTGATGAAGACAGACTTTTCCCTCCTAAAACTTCTTCCTTGACCATGCATTGCTATTATGTCCTCATGATTTATCTAGATAGAATATATCATCTCTGTCTTTCTGATAAATATCAGACTCCCTGATATTACCTGGCAGAAGAGCTGTCCCCTCCCTGCTGAAACCATGACCCAGAAATCTAGTGCAGACTTCCTTTTATTAAGTTAATCTCTTAGCAGTTTTTCCCACTGGTGTGACTACTCCTTGTGTTTGCGACACCCCTGGTTCTGAGCCCTCCTGCTCCTCTAGAGATGTTCCACAGAATGTGTCCTTCGAAGCCATTGAACCTGCAGTCTGCTTCACCTTCCTCTGCATGCTGAGTCTGCCATCAAAATCGCATCAGTACCCAGTCCCTTCCCGCCCTTTGCCCTCAATATCCAATCCGCTGCTAACATCGGTAGTTCCGCAGCCGCCCTCATGCCATTAGAGCAGGCAGTCCCCCTACTTCTTGTCAACAGCACATCTCTGCTCCAACTATTTGATGTGCACCCCAGGGCTCTAGGGTACGTCCTGTGTACTTCTCTCAGACTCAGCTCCCTAAGGCGTCGTTACTTAATGTATAATATTTTCATGTCTCCATCCTGCCATCATCTTTAAAGGAGACTTTGGCTGATTTGTGCCCGCTGTCCATTCTCTCTCCTCCATGTCGCTGCTGCTACAGAAGATGCTGGTTCATTTTACTGACCAGGTATCTCTCCATCCCCTTTTCATCTCATTTTCCTCCGAGTAGGTGCCTTCCTCCTCTGTTAGCAGGTCTCTCAAAAAGAGATTCTGGGGAGCTAGCAAGATGGTTCTGCTGGTAAAGACACTTGCCACACAAGCCTGAAGTCATGAATTTTACCAGTGGGACCCAAATAAAGGTAGAAGAGGAGAATCAACTGGGAAAATAATTGTCCTTTAACCACAAGTGAGCTTTCACACACATGTACACACTCACACCAACACACAATACAATACTAATAAAGTATAATAAAATACAATTTAAAAATCAGCTAGGGTTGGGGCTGAGAGATGGCTCAGAGGTTAAGAGCATTGCCTGCTCTTCCAAAGGTCATGAGTTCAATTCCCAGCAACCACATGGTGGCTCACAACCATCTGTAATGAGGTCTGGTGCCCTCTTCTAATCTTCAGGCATACACACAGACAGAATATTGTATACATAATAAATAAATATTTTAAAAAATCAGCTAGGGAAAGCAAAATTACTCAGTGGTAAGAGCAATTACTAAACAAGCTGAGTTTGAGTGCCAGAATTCCCAGTGCAAGGGGAAATCTGATGCAGGAAAGTTGTCCTCTGCTCCTCACATGCAGACTATGGAATGAGCACACACGCAGAATAAATAAGTAAGTGAAATAATTAAAGAATAAGCAAATGAAGTCATAGTAGTGACCTGGGTCATTTGCATTGAAAATATGTCATGTGCAGGGGTCATAACAGAAAAATAGTAAATATTACTGCACACATTTAAAAAATGTATTTGACAGAAAAACACCCAAAGCACGGAGGAAGGCACTATAGAAGGGGACAAATTAGAACAAATCTAATAGCACACACATATGAAAACATCCTAATGAGCCCGGTGTGGTAGCACACATTTTACTCTCAGCTCTCAGAGGACAGACAGGTGGATCTTTGCTAGACACCAGTCCGGGCTACATAGTTCTCGGCCAGCCAAAGCTACAGAGTCAGTGAGACCCTGTCACACACATACACACACAGGGAGAGAGAGAGAGAGAGAGAGAGAGAGAGAGAGAGAGAGAGAGAGAGAGAGAGAGAGAGAGAGAGAGAGAGAGACATATTGAAACTTAATTTTAAAAAATGTTTTCCTTTGCTAGCAGAAAGTATGTATGATGTCTCTGTGAAGTGAAGCTGGTCACGTGAATGTCATGTTCATGTCAAGGAGAGGAGCAGTGGGCACTATATTCATAAAAGCGCCAGGTTTCATGTCCTCCTTGTTGAAATAGGAGCGGCGGTGGGGCTGCGTCCCCAACACCCCGGCCGCTTGGCTAGCTTATGCCCGAAATAACAACACACCAACTATATTCATTTAAACTCTAACCCTTACAGGCTAATTCTCGCACCTGGACTAGCCCATTTCTAATGATGTGTGTAAGCACCCCAAGGTGCACTTACCGGGAAGATTCTAGCCTAAGTCCATCGTGGGTTGCAGCTGCCTGGGAGAGCAGAGCATGGCGGCTGTCCGGTCCCTCTGGAAGCAGGGCAGAGTCTGACCTCACTTCCTCTTCCGCCCAGAATTCTATTCTGTTTTCTCCTCCCATCTATGTTCTAAGCTATGAGGCCAAGCAGTTGGTTTATTGCTCAACCAATGAAATCAACAGATTGATATGACACTCCCACATCACCTCCCTACCTTTTTATATAGTCATACAATTATGCACAATTCTACATCTACTATATTCTTACTTAGATGTGGTGGGCACACCTTTAATCCCAGCACTTGGGAGGCAGAGCAGGCAGATCGCTATGAATTCAAGGCCAGCCTGATGTACATACCAAGTACCAGGTTAACCAGGGCTATACAATAAGACCATATCTCAAAAAATATTTTATGTCTTTATCATTGGTGGGGATGTGGGTGTCTGTGATGTGGGCTTGTGTAATGTGACTCTGTGTGACATGGGTGTGTGTGGTGTGTGTGTGATGTGGGGGGTGATGTGGAATGTTGTGAGGAGGGACATGGGATGTGGGAGTGTATGTAATAGGTGTGATGGGGATGTTTGATGTGGATATGTTATTGATATAGACGTATGATGTGGGACTGTGATGTGGGTGCGCATGATGTGGAGGGTGTGATGTGGGTGTTTGTGATGTGCGGTGCGTTATGTGGGGGTGTGACGTGTATGTGGTGTGGGTGTGTGATGTGGGGGTATGTGATTTAGGTGTGTAGTGTAGGTGTGTGTGACACAGGTATATGTGACAAGGATGTGTGATGTGGGGGGTGATGTGGGGAGGTGATGTCAGTGTGTGTGTGATGTCGGTGTGTAAATGTAGACACAGAGATGCCACAGCACTCACATGGCAGTTGGAGGACCATTTTGGGGAGTCAGTTGTCTCCTTTAACCCATGGGAATGGGCTCAGGTTACCTGGCTGCAGGGCAAGTGCTTTTACCTGCTGAGCCATCCTGCTGATCTCAACAATTTTCATAGCAGTCAATTGTCTGCATTCAGTCATTTCCTGATTAAAATTCCAAGGCTTATTTTGTTGAACAGCGTTGAACACTGACTGATGAGGCCATCAGAAAAGATTCTTAGAACTAAACACTTTGTCATTTGCATTTTATTGCTGTGCTCTGAATACTTGGCACTGCTGGGAAAATTACTCCTTGTCCCTAGCAGTTGAGCACACCATTGTCCACGCATGGAGGTCCAGTGCAGGTGCCACAGCACCAAATCAGGACGCTGACAAAAGTGTGATGTGGATGCCTGCGAGAGCCATGCCTACGACTGTGCTGGCTGGCTTTTGTTGGCTTTCATTAACTTGACCCAAGCCAGCGTTATCTGGGAAGAGAGATATCAACGAAGGAAGCGCCTCCATCAGATTGCCAGCAGGGCTTCTTCTTGAATAATGATTGAGGAAAGGCAGAGGCAGGCAGATCTCTGCATGTTCGAGGCCAGCCTGGTCTGGTCTACAGAGTGAGTTCCAGGATAGACAAAGAAACCCTGTCTCAACACACACATGCGCGCGCACACCCACAAATAAGAAAAAACAAGCAAACTGAATAAGCCATAGGGAGCAAGTATTCAACCATGGCTTCTACTTCCACTCCCGTCTCCAGGTTCCTGCCCTGTCTTTCCTCAGTGATGGAGTGTGACCCGAGAGCTGTAAGATGAAATAATCCTTTCCTCTCTGAGTTGCTTTTGGTTAGGGTGTTTTATCACTGCAAAGGAGACCTCAGACAATCCCCTTCTGGTTATTGACAGGATTCCTTCCTGGAGGTCATGAGACTGGGACTGTTTCCTTGATGGGCATCAATTGAGTCGCCCATACATCTCTTGACTTGTGTCCTTCTGTTCTTCCGTTCTTGTCTGGTCCATCCCCTGACCCACTCAGTCACCTTCCTTTTATACTTTCAGGGTCCATGCTTATGCTGGGTTCACATCTGGTGTAATTTCCCTGTCTCTAACCTTCCTCTGAAAAGTTTCCTGCTGCTGAGGTCTATTCACAAGTTCTGGGGTGACAGTGAGGATGGGGGTGCTGAGATCTGTATTCATGGGTTCTGGGGTGACAGTGAGGATGGAGGTTGGGTTCTAGGATGACAATGAGGATGGGGGTGCTGAGATCTGTATTCACAAGTTCTGGGGTGACAGTGAGGATGGGGCTGCTGAGATCTGTATTCATGGGTTCTGGGGTGACAGTGAGATTTGGAAGTGCTGCTACTTGATGGCCACAGTTTAAGAACTTCTGCTCGGAAGTGCCAGTTTACTACCACACACAGATATGACTAGTATTTATTGTTTTATATCATTCCCAGAAATACTCTCTCAAATTGTGTTCCATAAAGATTGTGCCTTATTCATCTGAAAGTATTTTCCATTTATCAAAATCTCTCTGCATGCCTTGCTTACATGCCATGATCACACAGCAGTTTATCCGCACTTAAGTATGTAGGATATTTGATCTTATTGAAATTACTTTTCTCATGGGTGAAAAGGGATGGATAGAGTTGTTCAGTTTTAGGTGCATTTAGGAGTACAGAAAAGCAGACACGAGAGGACGGCAATCAGAGCATCTCAAACCACAACTCGATGTTTAAGTGTGAATGCAGGAAGAAGTACACAAATGCAAGCCAAAAAGAAAAAAGAAAAGAAAGAACCAGACATGGAAGAAGTCTCAGTGGATAACGAATCTTGATACCAAAACTGATGGCCTGTGTTTAACCTGCAAGACCCAGATGTGGAAGGAGAGAACCGATTCCTACAAGCTGTCCTCTGATCTTACACATGGGACATGGCATATATGCACACTTACATACAATACATAAATACAAAATGTATGGCCAGAATTCACAACTACTGTACTGATAATAACCATACATATATCCTTTCAGAATTATCACTTACCAACGATACTGCAGTTTCACAATCCATAATTCTAGTGTTGCTATTCCGCCCCCTCCCCAGACTGTCATTCAAATGAAAAATTAATTCTATCTATCTTAATATATCCCACTCTCTTCCTTCTTTACCTTCCAGCTCCGGTTAGGGAAACAGGATGATCAATCAGATATTTTAATTTATTCCTTCGCACAGGGTGCTGCCAGACACGGTCTACAATGCGAGGAAGAGCACCCTGTGGGGAAAAAACACAAACGTTCAGCAGAGGGCACTCTAGTCAAAGAAAAGTTACCAATTTAACTCTACATCAAGGGCATTTGGATGCTTTACTGAGGAGCGGAACTCTTGATTCAAGAACATGTCGAAAGGCAAATTAGAATATTAAGAGAGCATCAATAATGTGCTTGGTAAATTTACGTAAAGTAGGTTAAGAGAAATAATCAAGCAATGGAAACATTTGCTCAAAAGCTCTGAAGCTTTTTTACTTTGGTTGTTTCTGGTTTTGTTTTTTTAGTTTTGTTTCTTGAGACAGGATCTCATTTGTGTAGCCCAGTCTGGAACTCATGATAATCCTCCTGCTTCAGCCTCGGATTTGTCAGTGCCAGCCACCACGTTCAGCAAGATCTAAATTTTCTAGTTGGCAAGACGTCTCAGCAGCTGAAAGAGCTGGCAATCTGATGACCTGTGTTTCTCCCCAGAACCCACGGTGGAGAGAACCAACTACTCCTGGAAGCTGCCCTTTGACCCTGTGCCCAAACTCATACATCAACTAATAATTTAAAAAATTTAAATCTGAATTTTAAAAGAGCATCTGAAATATATAACTTGTGCTCACCAAACACTTAATAAAGAGAATTAAAAAAAAAAAAAAAGATAATGACCCCAGACATTCTAGGCATGTGTATACGCACCTTTGGGGCTTTAAGTTTCTTAGAAGGCAATAAGTTTTCAGGACATGGGCCAGCATTGGCTGCATAGTTCAGAGAGAGAAGGACTTCCTCTGGGATGAATTCATTCGGAAGGGAAGGAGGAAGGGGTTTGAGATGGTCCAGCATGACTTTTCTCTCCTTTAGCTCAGGAAGTCCTAAGAAAGTAAGAGGAAAGAAAAACTCTCAAGTGGAGTGTCCTAGGGAGTTGGAGCTCCCCCACCTGCCTTACCATGTGTGTTCCTAACAGGAGGAGCGCTTCCAGCGGGCAGGCACACAACAGAGAGTCCTTAAAGCGCAGAAGAGCATCCAGTGCACAGAAAGGTGGAGGAGGAGAGGAAGCAGCGTATGCGAACATCAAGAGAGACACAAATAAGATGACTGGGCTACAGAGCGAGCATACAGCCAGCCTGGACAGTTGAGCGAGACTCCCGTTCGTAGAAAGTGAATAGGGAGCCAGCTCAGGGCAGAGTCCTTGCTTAGTGTGTTTAAAGTCCCTGGCTTGAATCATCTGTACCTCCTAAATAGTAAAAGGCTTGATGGAACTGTAGCTAAATATACATAACAAAATAAACCAAAAGCCCCTAAGTGACAGGAAGACTGGAGGAAATTTCAGTCTCAGAGTAAGGATGAAAGGTGTCTGTACTTGATCCGGGTCCTAGTACAAGTCTACATTTATCATATTTTCTTTGAAACAAAGTCTCATCTCACTATGGAACTCTTAACTGTTGTGGAACTCACTCTGTAGGGCAGGCTGGCCTTAAATTCACAGAGATTCACCTTCCTCTGCCTCCCCAGAGCTGGGATTAAAGGCATCAGCCACAAAGCCCAGCACCAAGGATGAAACCTTTAAGAATTCTCAGAAAAAGTCTTGAATCTTATACAAATAGACATACAGTATTAAGCTGTGTTTATCTTATCCACATTGTTTCCTTACAGTCAGAGAGCAAGGAGCCAAACAGGTGTTGGTTCAGACAGCTGGTTAGTATTTAAACGAAGATGAAAGAGAATTCTGACTTGGTAATAGCCAGGTTGTCTGAGGAGAAGGGGAGACTGGACTGCGAATTCTGTCAGTAGCCATGATGACTCTGTCCACAGCATCGCTCAAGTTTACCTTTGGTCTCCTCCTTGACTAGAGAAAGTTTTGACTGTTTGACCTCAGATGTTGACGGGGAGTTCAGCGAAGTTCCGGATGCTTTTTGGAGAGACATAATAAACTATTTTTCCAGAAAATTAGTTCAGAAACAAATCAAAATCGTGCTGGGAACTTTAGGCTCCCCGTGGTTCTGTAGGCAAAACAAGGCAAATGAACAAAGAGACCCCTTGCGGGTTTATGCTCAGATTGGAATTCGGAATTCATCTAGCATGGTTTCCCTTCTTTGTTCTCTCCGACGACCCGACGTGACAGGGAGGGGTATGGATGGGTCAGAGTCAGGGCCTAGCCCCGCAAAGTCAGGGTCCGCTGCCCTCCAGACGTAGGCGGGCGGGCGGGTCAGCGCGGCCCAGCTCCACGGGCTCGAGTGAGGCAGGGCTCCCACGGTTCCTTCAGCAGAGACCTGTGGACACTGACATCCGCAGCTGTACCCACAAATTGTGTTTCCCGCCAGGCCTCGGTCGGTAGGCCCTTTCCTGGAACGCCCTGCGTCGTCATGGCAACGCAGGACCCCGTGTCCTAGCAACCTGTGGTCCGGGCTGCCTCCGGCGGCGCCGTCAAAGAAAAGACAAATCGAACAATCGATACACTATCTAGCTGTTTCTGTGTGATCTTAGTCGTGAGTCGTAACTATAAAGAAAACAAATACTTAATCTGGTTGCTGTCTCGGAATGGGACGGTCTCTAGTGGCCGCGCTTCCGGCTGTGGACTGCGCAAGCGCAGGCCCAACTGGCTCGCGCTCCCTTAGAGACTCCCCTGTGGCCCTGTCCTTCGGAGGCTGTAGTGAGTGGTTTCCGTCCTTGTAGCAGGCTTTATTGTTTTGCGTATTTTTTATAAATATCCCCGGTGGCTTCAAACTCAAAGAGATCCTCCTGCCTCTGCCTTCCAATTGTTGGGATTAAAGGCGTGCACCACTACGCCAGGCCCTACCAGTTCATTTTTATAGCATGTCGACAGGGATTTCATATTCATCTTGGGTGCTCAGATATTAGCCTGCAAATCTCCCTGAAGGAGTCCGTGAGTGGAAAGTGGACTAGCATCTGTATTTAATGTAGTTTTATTAAAACATGAGGATTTAAATTAACACCTTTTTTTTTTAATGAAAGGAGTTGGCTGCATAGGCGGGGTTGAAAACCCTCCTGCCTCCACCTGGAGTACTAGGGTCACGGGCATGCACCACCACACCTGGATTAATTTTGAACTTTCCAGAAGTGATGCTTTTTAATATCTAGGAAATTTAATTACGGCTTAACTAAACACTTGTCAAGGGAATTGGTAGCTTGGGGCTCTAAAATTGAAATGTCTCATATCGTCTAGTTGTTGGCGGTAGTGAAGTCCGTGCGTGCGTATAAGTGTGCGTTACAACGCTCAGGAACAAAGCCAGAGCCTTGTGCCTGCTAACTAAGAGCTCCAGCACTTAGCTCCACCTCCAGTTTGAACTCTAGTTCTTTATCATTACTCCGTTCTCACCTGATGCGCCTACAGGGAGAGATAGCTTAGCTTCAGTGCCCGTCCTAAAAACTTAGAATAATTACCTTACTCACTCGGGCTCCTACCAAGAGCAACAGTGAGCAGCCGTGCCGACCTTGAATGCCACACCAACTCCAGTGTCATCTGTGTGACATGACATATGTCGTTATGCCGGACGGGAGCTACGTGTCCCATGGGACTAGGCTTCCTGGAGGTCAATGGCAGACAGCCTGGTGTTAGCCACAGCTGAGGCATAGACGGGTTTCTCGATTAGCTGGCTATGCGGGATATGAGCTTTGCACAATATCGTTTATAATAATGATATTCTATATATATATACAAGACAAGGATCATTCTCTTCAGGAACAGCTCTGGGATAAGGAAGCACAGTATGGGAATGTATAAGACTACAGCAGAACCTTTGTCATACACAGGGTGTATGATGAGCAAGGGAATAGATGGGCTAATGTTGATGGACAAAGACTGTTATATTATACTTTCAACTTTATGGATAGGCTTGCTAGATCCCAACCCCCATGATGTCTGCTGCATAAGAAGGTACTAAAAAGTATAGTTCAACAGGTGCAGAGAACTGATTAGGTATATTTGGTCACTAGATGAAATAAAGGGTTAGGAAGAGGAAGGGCCATGATAGCGATAATGAGACAGAAACTTTCTATTCATAAGATGAAACCACTTGCCTGAGGTTTACATTCCCAAGGACAAGATTTCCTCTTCTAAGGATGCTTTATGTCTAACACCTGTTCTGATAATATACTTTTCTTAAATATTGCTGATGTGACTAAAAGAAGCTTTCATACTGTGCCAACCAATGATACATGACCTTCTGATTTGTTCTTTGTTTGAATACTATATAATGAAAACATGAATTCAGTAAAATTGCAGCAGATTCCAACCACTCTCTTGTGTGTTGTGTCTGTCTGTCATTCGCCGAACTTGTGCCTTCCTATTACCAAGACCCTGCTTCTCCCACGGTCTGAGTGGCTCCCCTGAGCCGGTCCGTGGCACTTGAATATGGATCCCACGAGAGCTTTCTCTCGGTAAATTTACAAACTGTTATCTCAACTTTGTAAATCAGATGCACAAACTTGGTTGAGTCCAAATGGACCCTAAACTTCCCCAACTTGGTTCCCCCACCCCCTCCCACCCCACGGTGTTTCTTTCTTGCCTCTCTCTGCATGGCAATGGATAGCCAGGCACACTTAATTTCTGAAGCGACTTCTCCCATCCCACTCCCTCGCACTGCAGAAATAGGTGGGGACAGTTGGGCCGTAGAGAGTGAGTCGTGACTGTGCTCCCATCGGGGCTTCGCTAGGAGAATATTCTGATGTCAACTGCTGATCCTGATGCGCTCCAACAGTCAGCGTTCTTTGGAGAGAAGGTGCGCACACTCGTGCTGCCACAGCAGGGATAGGATGGGCAGTCGGTGAAGAGGAGACTGCTGTGGAGACTGGCAAGAGCCGAGTGCCGGCAGGTCCAGTTTGATAGTTCAGTAATCGCAGCACTTGTGAGGCTGAGGTCTGGGCTGCAGAAACTGTCTCAACCCCCAGCTCTATTCACCTTCCCAAAAGGAATGACCACATTAGAGAGAACGCTAGAATCAATGCCACTGAAAATGCAAACCAGGCCCCGTTTATTTATCTGGAACCTATAACATCGCTCCCTCCCTTAGTCTAGGTAAGAAAGCCCTGCCCAGTTCTTTGTCTGCTCCTTCGGCTACCATTGGCATAGAAAGCTGCCTGCAACTAGGATGAAGGGCACTTGAAACACAAGATGATGATGAGTGCATGGAGCTATTTGGACTACAGAACTAGGGCATAATGTTTGCTAGCTGTTTACAGGGGTCTCTGGGTAACAGCTCGAGCTGTCAACTTGCTCTTGTAGACCAGGCTGGCCTCAAACTCACAGAGATCTGCCTGCCTCCCTTCCCAAGTGCTGGGATTAAAGGCGTGCTCCACCACTGCCAGGCTCCTCGCCTCCTTTTGAGACAAAAGTTCTCGCTAAATTACCTGGCTAACTTAGAACTCATTGTAAATTTAAACTATGCTAGTCTTGAACCTGCAACCATTTATTGTCCTCTTTTTAAACTGTTGCTGCCTTTTTTTCTTTTCTTTTTTTTTTTCCTTCTGTTTTCCGAGATAGGGTTTCTCTGTGTAGCTTTGGAGCCTATCCTGGAACTCACTCTGTAAAATCAGGCTGTCCTTGAACTCACAGAGAACCACCTGCCTTTTAATCTACAGCTGTCCAGTCAGCAACTGCAACTCCACTGCTCTCAGCAGCGGTTAGTCCTGAGAGCCGCTGCAGCCTGCGGGAATTGTTTCCTCAGGCACCAACTCTTTCAAAGCTACAAAGAGTTTATCTAAATCTCTGTCCCTCTAAAGAACTCAGGATTCAAAGGCTGAGTCCTACTCTTGAGAGACTGAAGAACAGCAGCTCACCTGGCCTTCCAGCACCTCTTCAGAAAACCTCATGCTGCCCCATCCCCCTCCAAAATCCCAATCCACTCGACCACTTGACCACAGGTGAATGTTATTTAATCAAACACCTTTGCATCATTAGACAAATGTTACAAAGCCGGCACAGATAATATTCTACAAGTGCCATTCTCCTGCCTCTGTCTGAGTGACGGCCCAGGCCTGCTAGTTTACCCTTCTCTCCCCGTGGTGCTGAGGAGGCTCTAAAGCATCATGGCTACCAGTCTAAGAATGTCCTAAAGCTTTGTTGTTGCTTTTCGAGACAGGGTTTCTCTGTGCAGCCTGTCCTGGAACTCGCTCTGTAAACCACGCTGGGCTTGACCTCACAGAGATCCGCCTGCCTCTGCCTACTGAGTGCTGGGATTAAAGGTGTGTGCCACCACTGCCCAGTTTATGTTTGGTTTTATAGATTTACTTTTACTTCTTTTAGGTTATGTGCATGCGTGGGTGCGCAGAGTGCAGAAGGAATCAGGTTCTCTACACATGCAAATACTACACACCGAAGGGTCTTTCTAAATATATTTATTTACCACATTCCTCACATATGCAGTATTTTGCCATTTTGGATATGAACACAAAATTTAAGGAATTTTCAGAGAAATGTGAACAATACATTTTAAACAAATTCATTATGCCAGTCATTGGAGATCTGCAGGAAGAGGTAATCAAATTTCAAAGAAAAAAGCAAATAATGTAACCAGAAGCTATCTTTAATCTCTCTTACACACACACACACACACACACACACACGCGCGCGCGCGCGTGCGCGCACTAAGCTCTGCTGTGACCTAGGACATGCAGACCCGAGATAACTCAGCCAGCCCTGCACAGTCCAAATGGCAGGACCTAGACCAGGGCTTCAGCGTCCCTCACACCCAAGAATCAGCTCACTGACCCATTGGCCACATCTTTAATAACTAGGTATGAGGGCTGCATATTTTGACAATATTTGAAGCAGTACAGATACCCTTCAATAAGACACAGCAGAAGGCCTGTGTGCCATCCACTCCCCTGAAGATAAGTGCTCCATGGGGTGGGGGAGGGGCCATGTCGAAGCAGAGATAGGAAATGGAGTAAAGATAAGGGTGAGCATACAAAAAGGGAAAGATGTGTATCTTTCCATTTAAACAAGTAACCCGAGATAGTTCTAAAAATAACCCATTCTTTTTCTCAAGTCTAAATTAGCTATTTAAAAGCATTTCACTGAAGAAAAAAATTCATAGACTTAGAAGATTCCAGAACCTTCCCACCAACTCACAGCTGATTGTTTCTCAGCTGCCTATTGAGATGGGCTCCGATTTCTGGCAACAACTAGCTGTATTTATTTCCTATATAAGCTGGGCTTATAGGTGATGTTTTATTTCAACAGCGGGTCTAACACTCCATCACCTGGTGGCAGCTGTACGAATCAAATCCGTACACAACCGTCACGTGCTGTGTTCCTCAAAAGCTCCTAGTTCCTCCAGTGTTAGCCACAAACGCCTAGAGACTGAGTTCCTTTGCCAATGTGGGCAGCTACACACAGCATTACAGACATTATGTGGAAATTACTGCACAGGACTAGTAAGCAAGACACAGATTTGATTAAAGTAATGAGCTATTGGTTGAGACATTAAGGCTGGTGGAGTGCTTGCCCAGCATGCACAGGCCATGGGTTTAGTCTCCGGTACAGCACAGAAAAGGAATCGATTCCGCCTTGATAAAGCCCTTTTTACGTCATCAGAAATTCTCACTAGGGTCCCTCCTCTCTGTATTCCTAGGAAGTGGCTATGAGACATGCACACTAGATACGTGATGTAAATACCTAGGTCACAACAGCGATGCTCTCTAGAGGCTTGCCACTTCACTCTTGAGAAAAGCAGACAAAGCTGAAGTGATTTTGGAGACAAAACCGTGACCATCTGGTTTAAAATAACGAGGTAAGAACACCACAGGTGTGGCGGTTCCCGCTGTTACTCTCAAGAGGCAAGGCAGAGGAATCACAGCCAATCAAGGAGCAGGTGGACTCCATCAATGGTAGAAGGCTGGGGGCTGCTTACAGGAGCAGCAGGAATTCTTGGGACCCTGCCATTCCAAAGAGGTAACAACCTAGAGTTAGGTTTTGACTGTACAAAGATTATAAGGGCTGGCGCTCTGCAGCGATCCTATGAGCTAGCCATCTTTCCCATCACACAGAGGAGGAAAACAGCTCTGTCCCGGGTCACTTTGCTGTGCCTGGGTCTCTGAATCCACAGCCATGCTTCAGTCACCTCCCGACTGGCTCTCAGTCTGGGACAGGAGAAAACCACCCTACCAACGGAGAGGAACAACCCTAAGTAGATGCACTGTGTCTGTTTGTGTGATGGGGCTTGAGAGACAGGATCACTGGTCTTCAGCTTCAGCTGGTTGTGTAGCCTGGAATAACCTGGAATTCCGATCCTCTTCTCCTACCTCTCTAGAGCTGAGTTTTTCTTTTTTCTTTTCTTTTTTGAGCAGAGTAAACATAACGTTTATTAAGGAAAGGTGAGAAAGAACTCATGAATGGGAATTCCTCCAAGGAGGGATACCCATAACTAATGTCTTAAAAACTGTCATATAGGTTCAAACCATCACTATCAGTTTTGTTACCACAGCCACATGACTTCAGCTCAGTGGTTCTCAGCCTTTCTAATGCTGTGACCCTTTAAAACAGTTCATCATGTTGTGGTGACCCCAACCATAAAATTTCATTGCATGGTGGTTCATGCTTTTAAACCCAGCACTCGGGAGGCAGAGGCAGGTGGATCTCTATGAGTTCAAGGCTAACTTGGTCTACAAAGTAAGTTCCAGGACAGTCAGGGCTACACAGAGAAACCCTGTCTCGAAACAAAAAACAATAAATTATTTTGTTGCTACTTCATAACTGTAATTTTGCTACTGTTATGAAGCATAACCTAAGTATCTGTACTTTCCAATGGTCGTAGGTGACCCCGGGAAAGAGCTGTTCTGCCACCCACTGCGGTCATGACCCACAGGTTGAGAACTGCTCTTTAGCTTCACCCCCTCCCACAAACATGAAATTGGACTTGCCTCAAAATTTCTTATACTTTGCAAAACAGATCTTTTTTTGAATGAGCTCTCTTGGCAACAAATAAACGCCATCTTTTAAGGTTATATAGACCAAGTGAGTGATTTTCAAGTATATATGACTTGCCCAGGAAGACTGTAATAGTTCATTTTTAGGCAATAATTTTAGAGTTTCAAAACAAGTTATGTGTCCTAAATGAATTAGTTTTATAACAATCTGTTTGTAAATCAGATTATTTCTAGGTTGTACTTTTTTTTTGGCTTTTCAAGCAGGATTTCTTTGTCTAACAGCTCTGGCTGTCCTGGAACTCACTTTGTAGACCAGGCTGGCCTCAAACTCAGAGATACATCTGTGTCTGAAGTACTGGGATCAAAGGCCTGCACTAACACCACCCAGTTATATGCTTTGGAGCCTGTCCTGGAACTAGCTCTTGTAGACCAGGCTGGCCTCAAACTCACAGAGATCCGCCTGCCTCTGCCTCCCGAGTGCTGGGATTAAAGGCGTGCGCCACCACTGTCCAGCTTACATTGTACTTTCTTAACCTGACATCACCAACTTTTACCCCCAAAATAACAGAAACAGTCATACATTTTTTTCCACTGCCAAATATTGCAGCTACTGACAAGAGCAGCCCCAACCAGGTGTGCAGCCCCAACTCAGGAAGGCAGATACCTGAGTTCCAGGACAGTGATGTACAGCAACCATGTGCAAAACAAAACAACAAAAAGCAAGGTCTTGATGTTTTACTTAAATTTTAACATGAGGCAAGTAACATTATCCAGGCAATTTTAATATATTAATCCACCACCTAGAAAAAAAAAAAAAAAAAAACTAAACTTGCCCCCCCCCCATCTAGGATTGAGAATAAAAACATCCAATACAGAGGTAGTAAAAGACGAAAACAGACATCTAAATGCAAAGTCGAAACTGCTCATAAAGTGGTTCTCTTGTATGGTCACTTAAAATCAGTTATCATTCAAGCTTCGAGGAGATAAATACGACATCCCTTACTTTGTAGACGGTCTCATTCTTAACTGAAAACAGTTTCCACCCATTGGCACAATAAAGGAACCTGCTTGGAGCACACCATTAGCAAGAAGTCTGGGTTTTATTTTCTTTTTAAAGGGTTCATACAGTAATTTGAAGACAAGGGTCCTGCTAAGGCAACCAACAAAGTGGCCACATGGCTGCCAAGCCAGTCTTCTTTCAGAGCACCCGCCTCAAGGGGTCTGGACTTTTGAAGTTTAAGACAATCTTACAGTTCTAAGTGGTTTGCAGTCCTACACACATGCTGATCACCTAAAATCTTGGTAGGAAACGCATCCCTAAGGAAAGGCCTTGTTGGGTGTGGCAGCACATGCTTGTAAACTCCGGCACCTGAGGAGGCTGAGGCAGGGGCATATGAGGTCCATCACAGCTTGGGCTGCAGAAAAAGACCTTGTCTCAAAAAGAGTGGGTGAAGGGGAAGAGCAATCCTGACTGGTCCAACAACTGCAAAATTCAATACTGCTACAGAGTAACACCCTTTTCTGAAAATGCACACACAGCACTTCCCAGAATGGGGCACCCTGAAATCCCATCCCCTTGCTACAGAAGACTAGTTTATGAGCAACTTTCAGACCATTTCTGTTCTCTCATTACATTCAAAATACAATTACACATAGAAGAGACTTAGTTTATCCAGTAGTGGTGCACGCCTTTAATCCCAACACTTGGGAGACAAAGGCAGGTGGATCTCTGTGAGTTCAAATCCAGCCTGGTCTACAGAGTGAGTTCCAGGACAGCAAGAGCTGTTACACAGAAAAACCCTGTCTCAAAATACAAAACAAAACAAAATAAAAAAAAATTGAGAGAGTGATTGGCTCACTTCACTCTTTAAGACACAGGCCAGAACTAGTAGGCTCCATTCACAGCGTGTTGTTCAGGGGGTAATGACTCTGGGACAATACTGACCACTCGTTTGGGAGCAGAAAGAAACTGAGTCTGCTGAAGGTAGAGCTGAATTCAGAGCCAGCCTCTGAACACAGCAGGTGCAGAAGCAGGAGACATACACGTGGCCCACATCAAGAGTGATCATCAAGGAACTCTCCATTATCTTTTTGTGAGACTCAAAATGATTTTTAAAACCACTCTGAAAACACTTCGCAAAACTGTACAGAGAGTTGCCAGGATACCAGCAAAGACTCAAATGGCTGTGCCATGAACAATCCATGTGCTAGCACCTTATAAGGCTCATTTCTTTGGGCAGGAGGCTGGACTGCAGTTCTTTGACACCCCTTCCAATGTGCAGTCCTCACACACAATACCCATGCACACAAGCACAGTGGGTCCTTCCGCCACACCAGGAATGGGCACTGCAGAACGTGGAAATGTCACATAACGAGTACATGTCCTTACAAATGATCATACAGCAATTTATTTAATCTAAAAATATACTGTTAAAGTATAATGATGGGACAGATGTTTCAGAAGCCAGCTTCTGGATCCTTAGTAGACATTTAGTATTAATAGAGAGATTAATACTTCCATTATGGACTCATTAGTCTATACAACAAGGAAAGTTCCTAGTTATTAGACAAGAAAGCAACTGTACCAAAAGAATACTTCTAAACAACTTAACAGTTAAAGAAAAATCTTCAGGCATGGTGGTATCTTCTTCGATCCTAGCACTTGGGAGCAGGAGGACAGGGATTCAAGGTCAGCTAGGCTACAGAGTAAGTTCAAGACCAGCCTGGGCTACATAGCAAATTCAAGACTAACCTGGGCTATATAGCAAGACCTTACCTCTAAAAAGAAAGAAAGAAAGAAAGAAAGAAAGAAAGAAAGAAAGAAAGAAAGAAAGAAAGGAAGGAAGGAAGGAAGGAAGGAAGGAAGGAAGGAAGGAAGGAAGGAAGAAGGAAGGAAAGAAAAAAAACAACATCAATAAAATCTCCTACAGAACTTCTGAAAGCATAAATAAAACATATGGCCAGCTCATTGAATCTGTTTTAAAATGACTTCTCAAGTTTTGAAAGGAAATATATTTTCCCTTTATACTTTGGACCCTTAAATTTGTACCAGCATTGAAGGTGAAAGACTGCTAATTTTTTCAAAAACAAAATCACAGTTTATACAGAAAAAAAAAAAAAAAAAAGAGTAGACCAGAACTTTCAGAAAAATACAACATGGGGGCTGGGGTGTGGCTCAGTGTGCTGCCCTGGGCAAGGCCCTGGATTCTATTCCCAGCACAGAGACAAAGCAAAGCCAAAAGCAACAAAAGATGTGAGCAGAAAGCATATCAAGATTATCTTTGGGAAATAGGTATTTTCTCTCTTTCTATTAGAAATAACATTTATTTCTTCCCAATTGCACAGTTAACTAGCTGACCTCCTAATAGTGTGTATGATAGAAAAAAAACTTCAAAGCCAGAGGCACTGAAATGATTTCTTCCTAAGTGTTTTTGGCTAATTCATGGCCAAGATGTGTTTAGTCTCTGGTTGGACAGAATCAAGGAAATAAACAGATAAAACTACCAAAGCCTGAGCTGACATAACCCCGCAAAAACCCGCCATGACCTCAGCTATTGGTCCTCCTTCTCCCCAAAACGAAATAAACCAAAAAAAAAAAAAACCATGAAGTGACTCAAGGCCAGTTTCAGGTCGGTCAACAGGAGAGGCTGGAGCGGTCCAAACAACGTGGATAGAAATACGCAGTGACCGCTGACGACAACTGGCCGGGGATCAGGAAGAATATCCATTCCTCATTGGCAAGAACGGAGGCAGAGTCCAGGCTTCTAAAACACGTACCGACAAGTCCAGGAACGTGGCCGGACATAATCCAGAAATGTGGGCTAAGATGGGAGAAGCAACAGAAGAATGGTTCACTTATGAACACAGTTCATGTGAACTAGGTCTGGGGCAGGTAACAGCTGGATGCTACACATTGTACCTCTTTAAACTGCCCTAAGGGTTGAGAAACTCCGTTTCAAAAGATGTTGAGATGTTTTCTATCAATGGCGCCAATTAATTCAACTGAGAATTTCTGTAAAGGGTCCACTCCACTCCATAGACCATGGATCATATGGTAAGGAGGCACCGTGTCTCTTAACATCCTGATACCTTATTTTAGCAAAATTCAGTTTCAGTTTAAAATCTATGACTAGAGGTAGGATTAGCATAATAAAGCATGAGCATATGACTAAAACACGGGGTCTTAAATTAGTGATCCACTTCATGTTCTGCCTCCTCCTTTCGACTCAGCCTCATGCTCTTCACTACCCACACCCTTTGTATTATGTGCCCCTCACATCAGGAGTAACTAACACCACCCCCTTACATCAGGGGTAACTAACACCACCCCCTTACATCAGGGGTAACTAACACCACCCCCTCACATCAGGGGTAACTAATACCACCCCCTCACATCAGGGTAACTAATACCCCCCCTTACATCAGGGGTAACTAACACCACCCCCTTACATCAGGGGTAACTAACACCACCCCTCACATCAGGGTAACTAATACCACCCCCTTACATCAGGGTAACTAACACCACCCCCTTACATCAGGGGATAACTAACACCACCCCCTCACATCAGGGTAACTAATACCACCCCTCACATCAGGGGTAACTAATACCACCCCCTCACATCAGGGGTAACTAATACCACCCCCTTACATCAGGGGTAACTAATACCACCCCCTTACATCAGGGGTAACTAATACCACTCCCCAGCCCCCTTACATCAGGGGTAACTAATACCACTCCCCAGCCCCCTTACATCAGGGGTAACTAATACCACTCCCCAGCCCCCTTACATCAGGGGTGACACCCAAGCTGGACAAGCAACTCACATTCTTCAGAGGACAGTGCTGGCGGGCATACCATTCTTGAGAATAGAAGCACAGGATGACTCCATGGCCCAGGAAAAGAGAAGCCCATACCATAATGTTCCAGATCGGCCTTTTCCGGCTGTCATTGACAATGAAGTTAAAAGCCACTGAAGTTAGAAAGAGAACAAAAATACAGTTATCCACAGTCAACCAGGGATTAGGGCTTAGATACAGACCTGCAGCTGACTGCCAGCAGTGAGTATCAATCATTCATAGGCATCTTTCATCCTGCTCACTCACTCTACAAGTAAATGATGCTCAACTAAGAACACATGAAAATATATTTCATGGAGTTTTTTGGTTTTTTGTTTTTTTTTTTTTTTTTTGAGACAGAGTTTCTCTGTAGCTTTAGAGCCTGTTCTGGATCTTGTTCTGTAGATCAAGTTGGCCTCAAACTCACAAAGATCTGCTTGTCTCTGCCTCCCAAGTGCTGGGATTAAAGACGACCACTGCCTGGCCTCATGCCAGGAATCTCATGGATTCCTCTCCAGACACTCAAACATGAAACTGTTTTCAGGAGTTGCACAGTGACAGTGTTTGTGATTGGTCCCCAAGAGGCCACCTATTTCACACCCTCCCTCCAGTGTGTAAACACCTGCAGACACAACTGCACTGAATTACTCCATCAGTGTTCTGACACTGGCTAACAGGCTGCCTTGAAATGGTATGACCACCTAGCTTCTCTAAAGTGACGTCATAGTTTCCTTCCCGTTTCGCTGTCTCCGTTAGTGCAGCAGCCAGCACCCACAGCGGGCCACATCACTCACTTCCAAAGAACATGAAGAGGACAAAGAGCACTGGGTAGAAATAGCTCAAGCAGACAGCGAGGGCGTATTCATGCACGACCGCAGACAAGGCGAAGACAGCCAACATGGCGGCAGACTTGAACCTCTTCGAGAAAAACTAAGGTACAAAGAAAATATCCAAGAGTTAGTAACTTCAAAAATAAACAGTAAGCATGAACGATAAGAGATGATTACCACACACTAAAGGCACCTACTTAGTTATATTTGACTTTCTAAGCCTATACCTTAGGTTAATCCAAACCTATTAAAAATAATTACAAAAACATGCTCAATGTTCTAGTTTGGATATGAAGTGTTGCCTAAAGGCTCATGAGTTGAGGGCCTGGTCTCCAGGTTGTGATGCTATTCTGAAAAGCTCGAGAAACACTGCTGAGCCAGGTTCATGTACTGCAGGCTAGTCTTGAACTCTTGATCGTTTACCTCCACCTTCCAAGTGCTCACGTGACCATACCAGGTTCAAATTTCATCTGTCAGAGGGACACTGTATAAAACACTGGGCAAGCACCCCTTCCAGAACGAAGAAAAAAAAAAAAAGACTTGCCTCAGCCCAACATGGGACTTCAATATGAATGAGTGAGAGAACTCAGTCTGACACATGCCTGTTTCCTTAGCCGTCAGTCACTGAGGCAGATGACACACTCTTGCTTAACAATGAGAATTGCTTCAGAGTCACCAGTGTTAACGAGAAGTACAAGCTATACTTAGTTACTCTGAGTACATTATGCTCCAAAACATGGCTTATATAATAGTCTCTGGTTGACGGGATGAAAATTCACAGTAGCTCTCTACTTTTAACAAACAAATCCAAATGAAAGTGGGTGTGGTGGGCTGAGGAGAGGGGATATCGAGTTAATAAGAAGCCTGAGCTAATAGGCCAATCAGTTTATAATTAATGTAGACCTCTGTGTGTTTCTTTGAGACTGAAAGGCTACAGGACCAGGTGGGACAGAAAACTCAGTCAACAGACCAGCCTGGCCTTGAACTCAGAGATCCATCTGCCTCTGCCTCCCAAGTGCTGGGAGGTGTGTGCCAACATGCTGGACTTTTTCATAAAGATTAACTTACTGTATTTTTATGTGTATATGCATAGGCCACATGCATGCAGAGGCCAGAGGAAGTTATCCAATCCCCTGGAACTGCAGTTGCATGTGGTTTTAAGTTGCCCAATGTGGGTTCTGTTCCCTGCAAGAGCAGCAAGCACTCACAGCAACCACTGAGCCATCTCTCCAGGCTCCTCAGAATCCCCATTTCTTACATAACATCAACTAGGTCTTGCTGTTTACCCAGAGCAGGTCCTTGTATGCATAGTAGTAGAGCCAGTCATGGACCACCACATTCCAGGTCCTGTAGTAGTTGGAGTATGACGTAGAGTTCCACCAGTCCTGAGAGAAAAGGAAAGGTATAAAGTCACACACACAGCTAATGCCCTGGCCATTTCCAAAGAGTACTGCCTGACAAAATGCCTGAAGGTCGTCATTATGATAAAAATGTTAGCCCACACACTGATGCTAGAATCTCAAAAGGCATTTGAGCAGTTAGTAGTCAATACTAATGTATGTTAGAGCTAAACATGGCTTAAGACTCTGAGGGCATTTTGTCTCATTATCTAGTATGTTATGATGGAATACATAACACACAACCATTTACATCTAATGTTTGCCTCCGCAGCCATCAGTAAACTTCCTCTCTACCTTGTTAAACATAAGAGAACTGAGCACGCATGTGAACAGGCTGACTGGGACCAGGAAACATTTAATTATGAAGGGAGTGAGGTGGTGGTTTCTAATGTCCCTTTGTATTTCTTGCTCCCAATTTGAAGGTAAGACATTAATAGAATCAGACACCCAAATCTGCCATCCACATTTATTGTCTTTGAGAAAGGAGTAGTGGAGATGAAGTCGGAACAATAAAACGTGACATGGCCAGCTTTACAAGTCTAAGAATGCCATTTGAAGCAGAAATAACATCTTTGGAAATGAAGGAAGCCATTTATTTCCCTTGGGAACCACTCAGCAGTTTTAAATGGGCTAACCTGCTGAGGCCACTTCATAAAATCCAGCAGCCATTTGAAAGGCCCAGTGAGGAGCTGGCATAACGCCCTCTGGTAAACAGTTCCTACCGCAATCACCAGTACTCACAGGAGCCAACAGAGGCCATATGTTCTTTGTGGGGGTGGGAAGAAGAAAGGCCAAGACAAGCTTTTACTCTACTATAGCCCAGGCTGGCCTGGGATTCGTGGTAATCCTCCTGCTTCAGCCTCCTGAGTGCTGAGCTGATGAATGTAACAGCAATCACTTGCTATCCAAAGGGAACAGGTGTCAGTAGGTTACTCTAACTATACATGTATCAGAATTTCAGACTTAACATTGGGGAGACTAGGAGAACAAAATTATCTCATGAAATTTGTGTCAAAAAGCTGGTAACACTGTCAACAAAGCTCGACTTAGCAATATGGAAATAAATGGAACGTGACAGCAGGCAGGCTAGCTCAGGAGGCCAAGCCTACAGCACGACTCAAACACACATGCATTCGTGCTTCATGTGTGCCCTGACCCCCCAATCCCAATAATTTCTTTTTCTAATTGATTAGAAATGCCAAGATGGTGGTGCATGCCATTAATCCCAATACTCAGGAGGCAGAGGCAGACAGATCTCTAGAGTTCAAGGTCAGCCTGGTCTACACAGTGACTTCCAGGACAGTCACAGCTACACAGAGGAATCCTGTTTTAAATACAGATATTAGAGAGAAAACATAACATGAGAAGATGAGAGCAAGCATATAATACCTTATAAAACATCCTGTCACCAAAGCGTAACATCTCAGCAAAGGCATTGAGCCAGCAGTGCAAAAAGGCAAAAAACGTAAGGAACAGCATCAGCACCCCTGAAAACAAGAGCGACAATCTGAAGAGTCTTCTGAACAGCTTACAGCCAGCCATCATGAACAACACACCAGTGTATTTTTACCTGGGATGCTGCCGCAAAGCCTGCTGGTTTCCAGGTCACCCACTCCAGAGGTGATATAGTAGTACACTTTGGAAAGCTAGGGGTTCTGTTGTTTTACTTTTTAAAAATGGTAATTTATTTCTATGTTATTTTGACAGAAAATAGGTGATTCCAGCCTGTTTTAAAGAAATGCCTGGACATATAGCTGAACTTGTTACCCAAGACCCTTTAACTCTCCCTGGGTGCAAACACCACCTACAACAGGACTTCTGACATTCCAAGATATCCCAGGCCTTTCTATCTGTCCTTCTGTCAAAAATCCTTCCCAGGTCTTTCTATCTGTCCTTCTGTCCAAACATCCTTCCCAGGTCTTTCTATCTGTCCTTCTGTCAAAAATCCTTCCCATCACTTTTCTTCACACAGTATTTTTTTTTATTCTCCAGCATATTTCCAGTGCCCAATGCTGAATGTCATCTCTAAGACGAGAAACAAAGCCCCCAGGCTGTTCTATGCACATGGTACTTTCACACTGTACTGGGAAATACTCATTGCATGCCCACCTATTTCATTCAAAACAGATTCATACAGTGTTTGCTGGACAGGACAGGATAAACTAAAAGTGGCTTTAAAATATGATACTTGGGGCTGGAAAGATCTCAGTGGTTAAGAGCAGAGACTGCTCTTCCAGAGGTTCCGGCACCCACGTGGTAGCTCACTACTGTCTGCGACTCCAGTCTCAGGGAATTTGATACCCTCTTCTAGTCTCCAAAGCTACTGTAAGCACATGGTACTCATATATTCAGGCAAACACTAACATGCAAAAAATAAAAATACATAAATAATCTTAAAATATGATCCTTAATCTCAAGGAGTTTGCAGTCAAGTGAGGTAAGTTTGTGTGTGTGTGTGTGTGTGTGTGTGTGTGTGTGTGTGTGTGTGTGTGTATCCTTGTCTAGGGACATCTATCTAAAAGACAGGAAAGGGAGATGGTGACATCAGTAGTAAGCAGAGACCAGGCTAAGTCAAAGAAGCTCTGAAGCGCAAGCTCCCTGAAGTACAGAGTTTGTGTGTCTACAGCTGAGTCCTCAGCACTGGCACAGTGGGAACCTGCGTGTTACCAAAAAAAAGTACATGGAGCGAATGAAGCTAAGAGACAAGGCATGATGAAAAGAAGAAAGGTAAGAAAGTGGCCAACTGAGACTTCAAAATGTGGCCAGTGCAACCTGTGTCTCCTAGAGGTCAGTCTGGAAAACAGCTAAACCACCTATCAAGAGGTTACTGGCGACTTTAGGTTTGGGTATTTGGTGGCCAGGTGAGAGTCGAGATTATAGAGAACCGAAGAGGAAAAGGAAGAAACACATAAATGTGGACATAACACTGCCAGAGGAAGCAGACTGAAGTGAGAAGTGAAACCAGGAGGGCTTTTCACTTCTGGAGCAGATGAAGAAGTGGTGGCAGGGTTTATGTGGAGCTAAGTTCACAGGAAAAAGCAGGGAACTGAAGGTACCTAGAGGGCAGCTTCCTGCTGTCTTCCTGACTATATATATGGATGGACAAATTAAGGAGTGCCCAGGTTACCTGGCAAGATGGAGTTAAATACACACAGGACCAGAACACGAGCGCTGAAGGGCTCCTGTTTAATATTCCGGAACAATGGGGCACAGAGTCTCTCAAAGATGTAGTATACATAAAACAGGCAGCCAAAAACCTGAAACACAACAAAGAAAACAATGACGGCTTCATAAAAAGGAGGACATGTCTTCCTCCAAAGGAAATACACATACAACTAATGCTTACACATATTTCATTAAACCCCAGTATCTAGAGGATGGCCCCACTCCTCCAGAGAGATACTCAAGCCTCATTTCCACCATGACTTTTCTTAATAATTTACTAAATTACTTTTTAGATCACATCTTGCTATGTAGCTCAAGCTGGATTCAAACTCAACAATCCTTCTGCCTCAGCATCCTGAGTACTGAGTTTATAGACACATGTTACCACACCTGGCCCAAATCGCATTTTTAGAAGACTATGAAGAACCTGTTTATGAAGTCTGCAATAAAATAACTCATTTTACAGCTGAATATTTGTCTTAAATAGAATTTAAAATGGTAGTTTCTGGGATTTATAGTTCTCAAAATGAGTGAGGAAGAAATGGGGGGTTCAAAGCAAACCCCCATGCATACAACACCACCCAGAAAAGGGAAAAGGAAATCTATCTAGGTTCTTACTAAAATAACCAAACAAAATTACCTTAAATACTCTCCTTTAATGGGCAAAGCACACACATCGCCTGCATTGGGGTAGCTTGAAAGGTTTAGCCTTAACAGAGCACATTCCTGAAGTGCTTATGACATACTTTGCCACCTTTAGGTTTTGGAGACAGGTATTCACTATAGTCAAGTCCTGGTTGATTATAGAATTCAAAACTCCTCTTCCAAGTATTAAGGTCAATTGCATGAGTCACCACCCCTGGCTCAACATTTTAAATAGATTTTTTATTTTTATTTATTTATTTATTTTTAAAAAAAGGGCCAGCCATAACGACCACGCCTTTAATCCAGCACTTGGGAGGCAAAAGCTGGGAGACCTCGGTGAATTCGAGGTCAGCCTGGTCTATACAGAGTGTTCCAGAACAGTCAGAGCTACATAATAGAGAAATCCCATCTCAAAAGATTTATGGGGCTGAACAGATAGCTCAGCAGTTAAGAGCACTGGCTGATCTTCCAGGACCCAGGTTCAATCCCCAGCACCCACATGGCAGCTCACACTTGTCTGTAACTCCAGTGTCAGGATTTCTGACACCCTCATACAGATATACATGTAGACAAAACAACAATGACCATAAAATAAAGCATATACTTTTTTAAAAGGCCCATTTTTAATAAATAAAAATCAAAAAAAAATAAAATGTACCAATCATCATGTTAAGCAGTCCTTAAAAAGTTACCTGTAAAAACTGCATAGCAACGTAACCCCATCTTACAGTAGGAGTCCTGAAAAGAAGAAAAACGGGTTCTCTGTAATAAGCAATGAACTATTTCTATTCTGTCCTTTATCTACAATGTAAATAACCTAACGATATTTTTCTACACAGAATCATTTATGGAATAATGGAATAGCTTAGCAGGCCACAAAGCCTTGAATTTGATCTCTAATCCCCCACTACCAAAAATTTAACACCAAAACCATAACAAAATTACGTAATTCTATCAAGAATTAGTCATTAGAACCAGCCGCTAGAATGACCACTGAAGGCATTCAGTACTCTCTATAGCCCTGTATGAACTACCCTCCTCCAAAGCTGTCCCCTCACTTGGAGCACCCCTGGGCTCCGCACATCTCCCCCAAGGTTACCTCGGATAGCTGTCGCGGTAAATAAGTGTAGGAGCAAACAGGAAGTACAGGTACTGGTTGACTGTGGGTACTGGAACTGTGCCTAAAAAAGGATTACAAGATCTTTGACTTCTCCCAGCAAACTAGAAGAACCGAAAAAGGAAGCAAGAACAGGGCTAGCCAGGGAGTGGTGGTGCACGCCTTTAATCCCAGCACTCACATTTGGGAGTCAGGGGCAGATGAACATCTGTAAGTTAAGGCCAGCCAGGACTGCACAGAGAAACCCTGTTGGGGGTGGGGTGGGGGGTTAGGAGGAGCAGGAGCAAGAGGAGGAGGAAGAAAACAAGAAGGAATAAGAGAAGAAGAACTGAGAACAGCATGACCTCCTGGCGCCTGTGCTTCTTCCTGGTCTATTAAATGACTTGTTATTCATGCTATAACCCGGTACTGCCAATCTCTTTAGGCCATTACTGGGACTACAGAGGGAAGCTACAATTTGCAAAGTAAGCAGACACAGGTGGAGTGAGGCTATGAACATTCCATTTACAGGAGCCTAAAGATACATTTTTTTGCATTGTAGATAAAGGGACAAAACAAAACAGGAACTAATGAGTCTTCCAAATCAATATGGATCCCATGCACAGAATAAAATATACTCTCTACAGAATACAATGTCATTCCAGCATGCAAAAAGATGAAATACCCCATCAATAGTCCTTTTAGGTGAAGAGTTACATACTTGATTTCTCCTTGGCTGCATTGAGTACTCTCGGCACATTCTCTCTGACGAACGAGTGGGCCTTCATTACCAAACGGATCTGCCAAAGGAGGGGGCAGTCAATCCCAGCACTGTCTGTCTCCTATAAGTAACTCTAAAACTGCACTGGGTAACATTCACACAAAACTTAAATTTGCACATACCAACTCGTTAGCCTTTATAAAGGGAAAAAAAAAACCTTGCAGAGAAAGATATATAATCTCTTCAATTATTTTGTACCTAACAGAAGTCTTATTTGTTTATTAAAAAAATATAATATTGAGAAGTTAAAAATCTGTTCAAGGGCTGGGCAGTGGTGGCGCTTGCCTTTAAACATAGCACTTGAAGAGGCAGGGGCAGGTAGGTGGGTTTCTGTGAGTTCAAGGCCAGCTGGGTCTACAGAGTGAGTTCCAGAACAGCCAGGACTGTTTCATAAAGAAACCCTGTCATGAAAAAACCACAAAGAAAAAGTCTGTTCAAGGGCTGAGTGTAGCTCAGAGGTGGAGGTCCCGCCTGACTCTCTCCTGGCACTGTAAAGGAAAAGCTCAAACAATGTTCCTTTCCATTGGTCAACACAAGCCAGAAAACCCCCGGAGTGTAGGACAACCAAATTAAAATGTATGTCTCATTTCAACAAGAGTAGCTACATGAGGACATGGTGAGTTCAGCACTTCATCCAAAAGCTTTTCCAAAAAGTATTTCAAAACTTCTTTCAAAAATAGTTCCATATAACTTATTTCAGCTCCAGATAACTGAAGTAGAACAAATTCTTTAAAATGATATGACCCAGGTAAACACTTCAATTCAATTGCGTTACCTGCAATCCCAGGATTTGGGAGCAGACAGCAGGAAAATTAGAACTTAACTGGATATACATGAGCCCCTGACTCAAAATCCCTTCAATTCCACAAATAATGGTAATAGATACATATAAACACATATCCAGTGCTCGCATCAGTTAATAACAGCACCAGTACTGGATCATTGTTGTTCTTAGGTAAGTAGGCATAGCTTCATTCCGAGTGCCACTCAAATCCTTACCTGCTCAAGTATAACAATGAACCGGGAGGCTGGAGGCAGTGTATACGCTAGCACAACATATGTTGGGATAAAACCTAGGATTCCGAGCTGAAAGACTAAGAAGAAAAAGCCGTGGACAAGGGAATAGATCAGTGGATGAGAACTCTTGCTGTAGCCATGGGCCCAATGTTGGAACAGGAAATAGGGGATTGAGAGTGTAGACAGGAACATGGACCACCAAGTCCAAATAACAGTAGGCAGTTTGCCAAAGGCGTAGGCCAGGAGATTGAACTCAAGTACCAGCCTGCGGAGGGAGAAAAGTAAAAAGGAGTGAATGATTGATACGCAATGAACGTACAGAACTTAAAATGCTCTCTCTCACACACATATATACCCACAGCTTTCAACTTTTATAAATACTGCAACATTCACATACCAAGGTCACGGGTATCAACATGTCACGTGTGTTTATTACAGCAGTGCTCACAACAGCTAGGTTACCGACCAAACTAAGTGTCCATCAATGGAGGACACGTAAGGAAACGTGGTATATGTACACAATGAAATGAAGTTTTATCATTTGTAGGAAAACAAGTGCAACTGGACATAATCTTATTAAGGGAATTATGTCAACCTCAGAAAAAGTTATTTATATTACACGTTTTCTATCATTTGTGGGTTCTAGACTTGAGACACTAAAGAGCGTGTATGTGCAGATGACAGGAAAGTAGAAGCAAACTGGGAAACAAAGGGGACTAAGAGGAGGGAGTAGAGAGAGGTGGGCAGCTGCCATATGGGGAAAGTAAGATCAAGGAACACTATATACTTGCACAAAAATGGCCTTATGTAATTATGCATGAGAGAGAGAGAGAGAGAGAGAGAGAGAGAACAAGAGAACAAGCAAGCACTTTAAAAGAGCCGTGAGTATAGTTCAGCTGTTGAGAATTACAGCATGGTTGACCAGGAGCAGCAGTATAGACCTGTCTTCCAAGCACTTGGTTGGAGGAAAGGAAGATCAAGAGTTCAAGGTCACCTTCAGCCAGTGTGTAGCTGGACTACTTCCTCAGGAAAAAAAATTGATGATGACATTGATGAGTGACTGAACTCTTTCTTTTAGTTTTAGGAGGAGAAACTCAGCACTAATGCAGCTGTCCTGGAATTATTTTAAGCAAATGAGAATAGTCATTTCACACATCCGCTGGCCAGACACCTTCCCGCCTGTCTTACCTTCCTTCATCAATGTAATCTACCACGAGCGTGCTGAGGATGAAGAGGATGAGGAGAGCAATGAACATGTGGTAGATTGTTCTGATGTGGTCCACTTCAAACAGTTCACTGCAAATGTAGGTCAAGCAAATCATGAGTTAATCATCTATATTTAATTTTAAAGTACCGCACAACAATGATACTTTTTAAAGCAGTTTACAAGATGTTCAATCTACTCTTTGAGAGATCATTTTAAAAACTCAAAAGAGCACAGTATAAACCTGGAATATACAGAAATTAAATGATACAATCAAGGTAAAAAAAAAGCAGGTTCTTAAACTTTCTTTCCAAAATAGGATACTGATTCACGGAACACAGCATGGCTACCCCAGAGCAGCAGTCTCCGTCTAGGAAACCCACTGGGAGCTGTTTTCTGTGTGGGCAAATGCGGGCCGCCAGAAAGGAAGGACACAGGCTCTTTTATTCCAAGTCTCCGGAGCCGATTCGGCTTTACAAACTTGACAAAGTCTGTGTTCCTTTATGACGATGGCGGCCAGCTACCTACCGCCCACCAACTTAAACCTTAACCAGCGCTGTTTACTTTCTGCTGGCCTGCTGCAGTCCTTCAGACTGGCTGTTTGCCTTTTAGCAGAAAAACCCTCTGGGTGACTCTTCCTCAGTCAGCATCTTCTCTATCCAACTGGCTCTGTATGGGAAGTATGTGCGGCTTCTAAATGACTTTGAAGGATCTAAGATATTCTTAAACCTCTGCATAATGGCTCTTCAAACTCTTAACAAAAGCCTAGCTAAGCCATTTCTTTGGTCACATTTCTATTTTTTTAAGTTCAAGTCTAATTTATTTATTCATTTATCTGTTTGTTTATTTATGGTTTTTCAAGGCAGGGTTTCACTCTAGCTTTGGAGCCTGTCCTGGAACTAGCTCTTGTAGACCAGGCTGGCCTTGAACACACAGAGATCCACCTGTCATGCGCTACCACCACCCGGCTAAATTCAAGTATACTGATAACATTTCTCTCCTCCCTTGTTTTTCCCTTTCCTCCCTTCTCATTAATGAGGCCTAAACTCTGGGTTTCATGCATGCCTAGGTAAGTACTCTATCACCGAACTATAGCCCCCTTCATTTTATTAATTTTAAATAATGTAATTCTTATGTTAAAATGTTTAAATAGTGACTCTTCCTTCTTTGTGGAAAGCTTGCATTTTTCTCAGATTATAAATTTTAAAAAGAACACGGCCCAATTGCTTTAAAGGACAACATGAACAGAATATAGAAAACTCTGTCCTTCACATCAAGGTTAGGAACCACACCCCAATTTGGCTTATAAAGTAAGTTTTCATAAACAAGGTTCATTTTTAAAGGAAGGCACATCACAGCACCTGACACAATTTTCATCAACCAAATGCTCTCTCCTAATGCTGGTAAACTTCATCAATATCCCAATGAATAGCTGAATAAGTAGGGGACTTATCAGTGACTAATAACAGGAAAGAAGAAACAGCCATCTCCCATCCAAAGTGCACCTTTTGCTTTGGTTCATGAATTAAGTCAGTACAATGCATTCATTGCATTCAATTTTAAAGAGACTAGATAATCATGGAATTTTAAAAAGAAAACTATCAAGAATCAAAGGAAAACACACACACATTAAGAAGGCAGTTGTGGTAGTTAGAAAGAAAATGGCCCTCAATGGGAGTGACACTATTAGGAGGTGTGGTTTTATTGGAGTGGGTGTGGCCTTGTTGGAGGCAGTGTCTCTGAGGCAGAGGGTTGTGAGGTCCCATATATGCTCAAGCCACAATGAGTGTCTCAGTTCACTTCCTGTTGCCTGCATGTCAAGATGCAGAACAAGGCTACTTCTCCAGCACTGTCTGCCTGCACACTGCCATGCTGCGCCATGATGATAATGGACTCTGAAACTTAAGCCACCCCAACTAAGTGTTTACCTTGTAAGAGTTGCTGTGGTCATGGTATCTCTTCACAGCAATAGAAACCCTAAGACAGCAGCAAATCCAAAATTCTCTCCAAATTTTCTTCTGCTAACTCTCTTGATAAACAATTCTGTGTAACACAACTTCAAAGAATTTCTCAAAAGATAGTTAGCTGCTTTTATATCTAACTTTTCCAAAGAAGCCAGAAAGAGAACTAGAAGATAGGCGAGAAGGAACATAAAAACATCAAAGTTCATGACTTATATGGTCTTGAAACAAACTAGATAGAAAGACAGACAGACCAGAAAGTCTATAAATCAAGACAGTTTTTCCTTCCTAAATCAAACTAATAATTAACAAAAGCAAAAATCACTCACTCTAACAGAGACCGCCTTGCAATAAAGATCTTCCCTTGTTCTGGAGGTGCTCTCAGATCTCTGTAAAAGAAAAAAAATTAAAACATAGATAGTAGAAGAACAATAAGAAGCTTAATCGCAGGAGCAAAAGTGTACTTACCAGCAAGTGTACTGGCTAACATTCCTTGCTTGCCTTTCCCCATCCAATCGAGTACTATGTTGGTTTTTTTTTTTTTTTTTTTTTTTTTTTTTTTTTTTTTTTTTTCGAGACAGGGTTTCTCTGTAGCTTTTGGTTCCTGTCCTAGAACTAGCTCTTGTAGACCAGTCTGCCCTCAAACTCCCAGAGATCCGCCTGCCTCTGCCTCCCGAGTGCTGGGATTAAAAGGCGTGCGCCACCACCGCCCAGCTTATGTTGAGGGTTTTATGCACATTATCTCAGCACTCCTGGCAGTGCTGTGGAGTGGGTGCATGTATACTTACTTAGGTAGGAGCTATGCCAGATGTCTAACTGAAGCACCAGAGATTCCATTTCTAGCCCATGGTAAGGCAGACCCTGAACCACCCATCCTGAAAGACCCGGAGGTGATGTACCACCACACTGCACACTGCTATTGACGTGTCCTCCACACTGCACACTGCTATTGACGTGTCCTCCACACTGCACACTGCTACTGATGTGTCCTCCACACTGCACACTGCTATTGACGTGTCCTCCACACTGCACACTGCTACTGATGTGTCCTCCACACTGCACACTGCTATTGATGCATCCTCCACACTGCCTGATGCTTGTTTACTTTTAACATTTTAGTTAATGTCTTATTTGGGGCAGGGTAGACCACACATGTGTAGAGAGACCAGAGGACAACTTGCAGGGAGTCAGTTCTCTCCTTTCACCAGGTTAAACCAAGGATTGAATTCAGGCTTGGCAGCATCTCTTGACCTGATGTTTATGGGACACTTGCAACAATCCCAACAGCTAGCTTCCTCATCATATCAGCTGCTTTTGGGAGATAAAACACGTTTAGTGCCTCACATACCATCTTATTAGGGCACTGCCGTTGGCTATTACACTCACAACCATTCTCCAGGAGAGACTAGCAGGGAGCACACAAGGGCAAAGTAGCACACAGTAGCCGTTGATGCCTTCCCTCTAAACACATACTAACTGCAGGGTACTTTACTACGAGTACACACCAAATAGAGTACAACAGGCATGGGAAGGATGTGGTTACATCAAGGACTCTGAAGCAGACTCCCGGGTAGATCCCTGATGCGGTATCTCGCATAGCTGCACTAATCTGTAACATGCGGATAGCTGTGGCATCTACCTCACCACGAGGGGCTTGTTTAAGGTTTTGTACCCACATTATAAAACCCATACTGGGTCAGTGTTACAGCTCAGCAGGTAAAGACATTCGTCACCGAACCTGACAACCTTAATTCAATCTGGGATCCACAGGGTGGAAGGAGAGAACTGCCAATCAAAAACTGTCCTCTGACCTCTACTTGTCCACTGTGGACTGCATGCCCCCACATACACATACATATATACAAACATACACACATACATACAAACAAACAAAATAGATGAATGTAAAAAAAAAATTAAGTTAACCAGGCAGTGGTAACGCACACCCTTAAACCCCAGCACTCGGGGGCAGAGACAGATAATCTGTGAATTTAATCAAGGCCAGCCTGGTCTACAAAGCGAGTTCCAGGACAGCCAGGGCAGTTACACAGAGAAACCTTGTCTCAAAAAACCAAAATAAATAAATAAATAAATAAATAAATAAATAAATAAATAAAATAAGCTATGATAGTAAATAAAATAAAATAAATGGGACCCTATATTAAGAAGGGAAGCCGGGCGGTGGTGGCGCACGCCTTTAATCCCAGCACTCGGGAGGCAGAGGCAGGCGGATCTCTGTGAGTTTGAGACCAGCCTGGTCTACAAGAGCTAGTTCCAGGACAGGCTCCAAAACCACAGAGAAACCCTGTCTCGAAAAACCAAAAAAAAAAAAAAAAAAAGAAGAAGGGAAAAAAAACCTTTAACCCCAGCACTCAGAAGGCAGAGGCAGGCAACTCTCTGTGAGTTCGAGGCCAGCCTGATCCACATAGGGATCCAGGCCAGCCAAGGCAACATAGTGAGAAACTGACTCAAAAGATAAAAAATATAAAAAAGAAATTGTAGAAGTGGTGACAGGTGTGACCCGGGGCATTTCCACTGCACTCCACATTCTGACCACGGAGCTGGCTGGAGGAGATGTCTACACTGGGAGACAACAACACACATACTCACTTGGCTCTGTGGTTGTTTTTCATTTCTTCAAGAATGGAGAAGGTTGTAAGAGCACACCCACCATTGTCCAGAGATGCAGACTTTTCAATAAGATTGGTCACAAAATCATCAAAGTGACAACCAACTTCCTTCAGAAACAGTGGCTTCAGTTCCTAAAGTTTAAACAAATAAATAAAAATGTCAGCGTTTGCTTGTGGGTCACTGACGTTTCTCTGAGGGTCCCTTAAAGTGTGGGTCGACGGAAAGCCGTACTAAACAAGTGAGCTCACAGGAGTCAAAGCAGAAAAAATAATTTCTATCGTTGATTTGTAGTTTCAGACATGTATGAAAACACAGTAGGCCGGGCGATGGTGGCGCACGCCTTTAATCCCAGCACTCGGGAGGCAGAGGCAGGCGGATCTCTGTGAGTTCGAGACCAGCCTGGTCTACAAGAACTAGTTCCAGGACAGGCCCCAAAACCACAGAGAAACCCTGCCTTAAACCCCCGCCCCCCAAAAAAAGAAAATATATACCTGTGGCCTTTCTACTCTCTTTTCCTCCCTCAAAGTTGCTATGTAGACAAACGACCTTGATCTTCCAAGCCCTCACCTCCAAAGTGCTGGGATCAGTCACGTGCCACCATGCCTGGCAATATGCCTACATCCCCAAGGATACTGAAGGACCGCCTGGTAAACGAGCATCCAGGAAGGACACTAACATCAGAGGGGCATGATGGGAGAAATGGAAGGGAGAGGCAGAGCAAGTGTGAGGCCACCTGGACTAAGACCCTGCCCCCAAACACATACACCACAGCAGATAAAAATGAGAACATTCTTTTAATAGTTTTATTTAGAAAACAAAAATCAATACATTATGTCTATATTATGTAATTACCACAGTCTTTTTTCCTAAACAAATCCCTTTGCCCCTAAGTTCCCATAACGAATATTCTAAACCATTTTTTAAAAACATTTATCTTCTTATATGTGTTTTGCCTGCATGTGTCTATAAATACCATGCACACGCCTAGTGTCTGCAGAGGTCAGAAGAGGGCATCAGATCCCTAGGAGCTAGAGTTATGGATGGTTATGAACTACCATGTTGGTGCTAGGAACCAAATTCCAGTCCTCTGCAAGATTAACAATGCTCTTAACCACTGAGCCATCTCTCTAACCCTCACAATTTACATTTTAATGCATGTCATTTTGCATCATAGCTATGTTTATATAATATTTATTCCTATCTCCATAACTATGTATTTAGCTAACCATAAAACATGAATAAAGTCATGGTGGCACATGCCTTTGATCCCAGCACTTAGGAGGCAGAAGCAAGCAGCCCTCTGTGAGTTAAAGGATAGTCTGGTCTACAGAGCTAGTTCCAGGACAGCTAAGCCTACACAAAGAAACCCTGTCTTGAAAAACCAAACAATAAAAACAAGAAAGAACATCATGAATATGTATGTGTTATATAGCTAAATACTGCCATACATATTCATAAAAGTTAAGAGTGTGTGCGCATGTTATATATACACATCTATACATACAAAATCTTATGAAAATAGATATGTAGAACCATGTGAAGTGGTGCACACATGTAATCCAGACACACAGGAGGCAGAGGCAGGAGGTGTCTCTGTCTCAAAATATACACAAATAAAAATTATACACAATTGTTATTTGGGCCTCTAGCTGTCCTTAATATTTTTTTTTAAAGATTTATTTATTACATATACAGTGTTCTGCTTGCATGTATACTTGCAGGCCAGAAGAGGGCACCAGATCTCATTACAGATGGTTGTGAGCCACCATGTGGTTGCTGGGAATTGAACACAGGACCTCTGGAAGAGCAGTCAGTGCTCTTAACCTCTGAGCTATCTCTCCAGCCCTGTCCTTAATATTTTAAGATAAATACTTGCAGTTTTTGAAAATATTTATATATTATGAATATATATGTCATTTTTTCAGGTTACAATACATTGACACAAAAGGAATGGTATAATTTTGAGATCAGGCTGAGCTACACAGAGTTCTAGAACAGCCTGGGATATTCTAGTGAGACCCTGTTTCAAAATAATAATAAAGAAACAAATAGGAGTGAGCAAGTAAAACAAAAGCCTAGACATGCCTATGCACGCAATTAAACAAGGGCAGCAGGATAGTGGGAATATGCCACCACACTCTCACAGATGCTACGGCTCTGCCTCAGTGCTGGGTTAAAGTCATGTGCCACCACACCTGGCCCTAAAATAAATTTTAAAAAGTAAAGTGATTTTTTTTTTCTAATGGAGAAATATACTGAGAGGGAAGGGGCAGGATCTTTTGATCCCACCCAGGACTAGGACAAATTTGGGGCACTCCGAGGCACTAACTAGGGAGGCAATAATAAACACATGAACCCAGCACCCTGTCCTTGTGGAGTGAGCAGTGCAATGCCCTTGGCAAGTTCTAGAATGGAGTTTTTCATTGTTGAAGCAGAAAGTGCTAAGTGCTAAGGTCAGGGACGGGCAGAAGGGTGCAGGGGACAAGCCATGTGTGTAAGGCCGCGGCTTCCCTGTGCTTGGAGTCAAATCTCAATTTCGCTCAGCACTGAAGAGAAGCCCAGGTTCTTGAAACAAGGGAAAGGCTTCCAAGCCACCCCTTTCAGCACTCCTTGCACGCTGTTGTTAAAGAAGTTATACAAATGTCAGTAAAAGCTGCTTAGTCAAGTCTTCCTCCCTTCAGCTACAGCTAAATTTGAGTCAGAGCAGAGGCGGGCAGAGGCGGGCAGAGGTGGGCAGAGGTGGGCAGAAGTGGGCAGGGGCAGGCAGGCACCATGACCGTTCAGCTGGAAAACTGTCGCAGTGCGAGCCTAGCAACCCAAGTTCAGTTGCTGGGAACCCTGACTAGAGAAAGAGCACTAACTCCCCTGACCTTCAGATGTGCACCGTGGCACGTGAGTGTTATACACACACACACACACACACACACACACACACACGCATTATAAAATAACAAAAATTGATGAGTCTATTTTTTTCTTGTTTAAGACAGAATCATGCTGTAGCCCAGAACAGCCCCTAACTCAAGGCAACCAACCCTCCTGCTCTCACCTGCCGAGTACAGATCCCAGGCAGGTGCCGGCACACCCAGTACGACATAGCTCTTACTCCTTATGCACTGCTTGCCAGATGAATGCAGAGCCCTTGCTTTTGTCTGACAATGAGGAGAAACAGTGTCACAGAGAAAGGACAACAGGGGCAGCATGAGAAGACAGGCATTGGTGTGACAACCAGTGTAAAGCAGAAAGCGTCAAGTTTTCTGACACCCCAGAAGGGGTGCAGAGCATTCCAACAGGATTAACGCCTGCCTTTCATTCCCCCTGAACTCAAATTTGTACGTGGGCACTTCAGGAATCCAAGACAATCTTTTCTTCTTTTTCTTCTTATGTATGTATGTATGTATTGGTTTTTCGAGACAGGGTTTCTCTATAGCTTTAGAACCTGTCCTGAAACTAGCTCTTATAGACCAGACTGGCCTCGAACTCAGAGATCCGCCTGCCTCTGCCTCCCGAGCACTTAATAGAGTGCGCCACACCGCCCAGCCTAAGACAATCATTTAAATGTAGCACTTTATATACGGTATTATAATTTGCTGCCTAATGCTCATATTTTAATGTCTGTCTTTCTCTGAGGAATTAAAAGTCAGAGAGGGGAGGAAGGAAAGGAAACGGAGAAAAATATATAACTCAATAAAAATAATAAGAAAAATTAACAAAAAATAGTCAACAGAAGCTGCTGCCAGTGGACTCAAGAACACTGCCTCTGTGGAGACCAGGAAGTTTCTTAAACTCCCTGCAGAAATCCTCAGATGACACTGGTGACTCTACTGCCACTCCCTTTGTGAGAGGACAGCTAATGGAGGGGCTGCTCCTGCCTTTCACGTTCTCCTAGCACACAAAACTGTTATTTAGAATTCAAAATGTGAGCACAGTTAGTCCGAATGAAGTCTGAGTAGCTGAAGGGACATGGCATTAGCTGGGGCTTTTCCACTGACTTGACCTCTCAAACTCGCCTCTGTGCGTACTAACTTCCCTCAGCCAGTGGTCCTCGAGGGGTGGACAGATGCTGAGGGAGAGGACAATGACTAGAAAAGCAAGGTGTTTAAATAATCTAGTAACCACCCCAACACTCGGGACTGTAGCAGGAGGATTGCTAGCCATTCTGTACCCAAGCCACCCAGAGCTACAGAATAAAATGCTGTTTCAAACAACAAAAAGCAAACGAACAGAAACCCAGCAAACAAATGCACTGTGTTTTGAGGCTCACATGAACCTTCTATTTTAAGCAAGCAGCTGAATTAGATCACCCAGAAGAGTCCAAGAATGGGGAACAAAGATCCTGTGGTTGGGAACCTACATAATAAAAGCACACGCTCAGGAATGAGATAGGTATCCGGGTGGGAATGGACGGACATTTTAGGCACAGATTTACAAACGCGCTCACAGCCACACCTCAGAAAGCAGCTTCTATAGAAAGCCTCCAGGCTGAAGCTACATCGGACTGAGTTCTGAAATGAGAAAACAGAGTCATCTGTGGATGAATCAAATAATTCTTCCAAAGGCTGAAAAACTTCCAAGCAGGCTGGGAGAAGCAGCCCCAGCGCAAACCAATCAGGGCAGTTTTTTTAGCATCTCAAACGCCACAGGACACAGGACTCATAACTTCCTCAAAGATGGCTTTAAGAAGGATTATGCTGACTCCACAAGGCCCCTAGGAGTCTAAGAATTGTTTGGTGGCTCTGACTCAGTGCCTGGCTCGGCCCAGGGAACCTTTCAACCTCATGGAAAGAGGTTGTGGCACAGAGGTTGTAGCAGGATCAGAAACCCAACCCTTCTAGACAAAGCAGGCATGGGGGGGGGGGGGCAGGAATCTGGGTCAAATGTGCCCCTGACTCCAGGGTCTGCCCTGGAAAGATGCTCCTTGTCCTTTTCCTTCATTGTACCTAACTCCTTTTCTAAAGTTCTCTCTTTTTCCATTTGCCTTCCCCAATGACTTTCAGTATCTTGGTCGATTGGTTGTTTTTGTTTTTTTTTTTTTGATCTTTTGCCCAGACTGACATCAAACTGGGGGTGATCTCCTGCCTCAGCCTCCCAGGTGCTGAGCTTACAGGCATGGGCCACCCTGTCTTGACAA